CATTACTGTTATATATTATTATACAAAGATAACACAACATGATCAAAAAGGTTAATTCCAGGAATGCTAATTTAATATTAAAAAAAATCAATCAATAAGGGGTGCCTGGGTGGCTCAGTCTGTTAAGTGTCAGACTCTTGGTTTCAGCTCAGGTCATAATCTCAGGGTCGTGAGACTGAGTCCCATGTTGGGCTCCAGACTCGGCATGGAGTCTGCTTGAGATTCTTTCCCCTTCCCTTTGCCCTCCCTTTCTGCTCCTCCCCCTGCTCTCTAAATAAAATCTTTTTAAAAATAAATGTAATTGAACTTTTAGAGAAAAAATTTTGTGACCTCAGATTAGACAAAGATTTCTTAGATATGACATCTATATCCATGAAAAAAAAACTGTCTTGACAAACTGGGACTTCAGCAAAATTAAAATTTCTGCTCTTCAAAAGACACTGTTAAGAGAATAAAGACAGACCATAGCTGGGGAGGAAAATCTCAACAAAACATATATCTGATTAAAGACCTATATTCAGAATATATAAAGAATTGTCAAAATTCAACAGTAAGAAAACAACCTGATTTAAAAAAAAAAAAAAAGGTACAAGAGTTGAATAAACCCTTCAACAAAAACAAAACAAAACAAATATATAAGGATGGCAAATATGCTCATAAAGATGCTCCATATCATTAGTTATTAGGGGAATACAAATTAAAACCACAATGAAATATCACTACATGCCTATTAGAATGACTAAAATTAAAAAGATCAATCATACCAAGTGTTGATGAGGATATGGAGAAAAAACACTCTTCCATGCTTCTCTCCAACTACATTCTCTTCCCTCCACCCAGGGGTAATCACCATTCCAAACTTGGTGTGAATTGTTCCTCTGATTTTTGTTATTCCTTTACTTCAATATGTAATATGGTTTCTTTTGCCCCTTTTTGAGCTTTATATAAGTAGAATCATAGTGTATTTATTCCTCCAAGATTTGTTTTTATTCACCATTGTTTTTAATTTACCCATGTCATGCATGAAACTATTCCAATCATTTTCCCTGTTGTAATCTATTCCACAAAATTCTATTCCAATATATATTTACATATACCATAATTTATCCATTGTAGTGTACTCTTTTGAGTGTTTCTAGAATTTTTAAAAGTATCAACAATACTACTATGAACATCCCTACATGATTTGTTCACGTTTCACTTTAAAATGCATTTTACATAATTATTAATACAGAAACACCAGCTTTCTTCAGGATAGTATTTGCCTGGTGAATCTTTTTCAGTCCTTTCAGCATTTTGAGGTTCTTACATTTTAGATTAAGTCTCTTGTAAATAGCATTTCACACATTTAACCAATCTATCCTTGTGGTCATTCAATTAGAGAGGTTTTTTTTTTTTTTAATCCACTTTACATTATTGGGATTACTGATATATTCTTATTTATTTTTACCCTCTTATTTTGTGCTTGATGAAAGAAGACAAATAGATGACCAATAAGCAAATAAAAAAATTATTCATTATCATTAATCATTAGGGAGATGCAAAGTAAAACTGCAATGAGATATCACCAGTATCTATCAGAACGGCAAAAAACAAAACCAAAAACAACCTAGACAACACCACATGCTGATGAGGATACAGAGCAACCAGAACTTTTAGACATTACTCACAGAAATACAAAATGGTACTGCCACTCTGTAAAGCAGTTTGGCAGTTTCTTATTAAATTAAATGTACACTTACTATAAAACTCAGCAATTTCACTCCTAGGTATTTATCCAAGTGAAATGAAACCCTATACTCTCATAAAAAACTACATCAAAGTTTATAATGGTTTTATTCATAATCACCACAAACTGAAAACAACTCACACATCCCTAAATTTGGAAGTAAGTATGGTATAGTAGTCATACAGGGGAACACTACTCAGCCATAAACAGAATAAACTACTGATACACGTACCAATGTTGATAAATCTCAAATGCATTATGTATTATGTATTATATATAAGTGAAAGAAATCAGACTTAAAAGGCTACATACTATGTGATTCCATTTATTTTTTTTAAAGATTTTATTTATTTATTTGACAGAGAGAGACACAGAGAGGGAACACAAGCAGGGGGAGTGGGAGAGGGAGAAGCAGGCTTCCTGCTGAGCAGGGAGCCCCATGTGGGGCTCGATCCCAGGACCCTGGGATCATGACCTGAGCCAAAGGCAGACGCTTAACGACTGAGCCACCCAGGCATCCTTATGTGATTCTATTTATAGGAAATTCTAGAAAAGGCAAAATTACAGGGACAGAGGTAGGTCAGTGAGTGCCAGGAGCTGGGTTTACATAAAAAGGTTAACCACAAAAGCACAGGAGGATTTTGGTGGGTGATGGGACTGTTCTTTATCTTGATTGTGGTGATAGTTACATGACCGTAATGTTTGCCAATAACAATAGACCTATATAGTAGATATGGGTTGAACTGTGTCTCCCAAAAGTTCATATGTTGAAGTCTTAACCCTAAACCTCAATACCTCAACATATGACCTCACTCAGAAATAGGGTCTTGACAGATGTGGTTACCCTAAAAACAATATTGAGACTTCCTGTTTCAGATACTACATGTAAAGAGCTTATAAGTTGCCATTCCCATACTTAAAACAAAAAAAAAGCTGAACAAACTGAAAACCAGCAACCTTTCTTCAATCCACTGGAGACACAGGTAGGAGGGCAAACCATCACCCCAAAATCTACAGAGAGATGAAAATCCTGAGAGTTACAGCCAAGATCTGCTTACCTGAAGGAACACTTAAATGGTAACTTTAAGAACTGGTAGGGGTTGAGTATGGACTAGCATGAGATTGAGGAATTCCTGGAGGCCATAGTTTTGGGGGGGGGGCTACCATACTATTGAGAGTTTTGTCTCTAGGAATCCCACCTGGTTCTCACTGTGAAGAGTCAAGAAAGATCCTCTTGTAGCTCAGGCAGAGGGAGTAGAAACAAACATTAAGAAAAAGTTTAGAGCAGTTTCCATAATAAAGGTCTATACTCACTTTATCAGAACCCTATCTCATCTGGGGTAAGGATATTTCACTGATTCCAGACAGGAATGGGGGGAGGGGAGACACTAACAAACACAATGAAGGTCATGGCCTAGGAACACAGGTCCACCAGAAGACTGAGACTGAATTATAAGATTATAGATGGTTTCCCTTCCCTGATACTTTACCACCACACTAACAGGGATCTAACATAATAACAGCAGATTACAGGTGAAAGAGTTACAAGACACAGATTCTTTCAAAGGAGGAGCTCTTAGGGAAACCCAAAGACAACAGGGGAGACAAAACAAGGAAACTAGAGGAATCTGAAGCCTTGGCACTTATAGCTACAACAAACATTAAACAAAGCCCAACTCCTAGCTAGTTTAATATAAAAGCTCACACTAAAGGCCTATTTAATTCAGTTACTATTACCTAATACATTGCATCTTGCTCTCAAAAAAAAAATTACAAGGCATACTCAAAGAAAATCACAGTATGAAGAAATAAAACAAACATCAGAACCAGACTCATATATGATAGATTTTACAATTATCAGACAGGGAGATTAAAATAACTATGATTAATATGTTAAGACATCTAATGAAAAAGTAGACAACAGGGATGCTATGGTGAATGCTGTGAATTGTGTAAGACTGATGAATCACAGACCTGTACGCCTGAAACAAATAATATGTTAACTAAAAAAAAAAGGAATGATGAGGCTGTAGCAAGAAAGGAGCAGAACCTGCAAGGGAACTTTAAATAAGCCTTGAAGGGACAGGAGCACGGAAGCCAGACTGCCTGATTTCATATTTCTAGCTGAACAGATTACTTAACCGCTATTTACCTCACTTGTGCTAATTTAAAATTGGAATAATAATAGTACCAGTCATAAAAAGTTGTTCTTAGGGCACTTGGGTGGCTCAGTTGGTTATGCGACTGCCTTCGGCTCAGGTCATGATCCTGGAGTCCCGGGATCGAGTCCCGCATCGGGCTCCCTGCTCGGCAGGGAGTCTGCTTCTCCCTCTGACCCTCCTCCCTCTCATGCTCTCTGTCTCTCATTCTCTCTGTCTCAAATTAATAAATAAAATCTTAAAAAAAAAAAAAAGTTGTTCTTAGGATTCTTAGTTAATAAATGTAAAACATTTAGCAGAGCATCTATGTTCTTCATCAGGGGAAAATGGTTACTCTGTGGAAATAGTGCAGTATGCACCTGTGGATATAAGAACTATGTCCTTGGGAGAAGATGTAATTTAGCTCTCTTAGTTTTCCAGAGAAGGTGAAATTTTTGGAGCTTATCACCTAGAGCATTGGTCTGCAAAGGAGAGTGCATACTACCCAGAGGATATGAAAAATAATCCAGTGGAATTTGGAAAGAAAAAATGTGCCAAGAAATGTAAGGGATTATTGTCATTTGGTTCATGATCATCACGGGCAGCGCGGATTTCCTAGACATCCAGTCCTTGGCATTACTGCTCCCTAGTAAAGAATTCTCTTCCATGCATGGGATAGGATTTTTTTCCTGGCCTTCTTATGAGTAGGTGGGACCATGTTATTAGTTCTGGTCAATGAACTATGAATAGAAGTCTCTAACCAGTCTCTCTCTCCCTGAATAACTGTAGTGGGCAGAAACCCCTGCTGACATGCAGTGGACATGTAACATGAGCAAGAAATCAATTTTTGTTGTAAGCTACTAATGTCTCTGGGGTCATTTGGGGAAGATTCAGCATAACCTACTTTATTCTGACTGATACAGTATCAAATAGGGATCCTTTTTTTCACCACTACATAGATAACTGGTCTTTAAATACCATTTATTGAATTACTCTAAACTTTTCTCACCAAATTAATTTCATACCTGTCATGTATGACATTTTGATATGTAAACACAACTCTTGATCACCTAATCTATGTCTGTGTCTTCATATGCCAATATTACACTCTTATTTATTATAGTATAACTTACAAGTTTTGATAGCTGATGATGTCCATTCATATTAAAAATCGTTATGTTTTCGGGGCATCTGGGTGGCTCAGTTGGTTAAGCGACTGCCTTCGGCTCAGGTCATGATCCTGGAGTCCCGGGACCGCGTCCCACATCGGGCTCCCTGCTCAGCAGGGAGTCTGCTTCTCCCTCTGACTCTCCCCCCTCTCATGTGCTCTCTCTCTCTTTCTCTCTCTCAAATAAATAAATAAAATCTTTAAAAAAAAATAAAGTGCTTTGCGGCATGAAGATTATTCAAAATGCATGAAAGGGGGAAAATACAGAGATTATTTAGAACACAAGAGGGTTTTATCTTCCTGCTCCTAAAAAGATATCATTATGCCATCATATTAATAAAAAGGCAGAATAATGTCAAAATAACCTATTCTGACTCCATGTCTCGGCAAATCACTTGAGGGAAAGAGGTTTCATGTGCCATTACTGTATATACTAATATGGTCACTGGACTCAGCGGGCCACTAACTTAATAGAAGTTAGTTAGTAGAGAACAGCAAATATTTAGAAGCTCAGTCACCAGGATCCTTGCCTTTACAAAGATACAAGATTCCAACCCTAATCATCCTTCTACAATTCTGAACTTAAACTGGACTAGGGGGCAATGCTAGTTACTACTTCTAAATTATAGCAAGATCCGTTTAGTGTTATAGAGAACAATTTAATTTTCAAGTACATACTGGGTTCTAACAACTATAATGGCAAATACCACTTATTTCAGAAATTTGCAAAGTACAAAGAAAAAGACTCTAATTTTAACACAAACTAATTTATGACACCTTTCACAAACACGTAAACCACAGAGACACTGCACCATATTCAGCATCCCTGCTATACTGAGGAAACTTCAAATATATGTAAATGTAAGCCAAAACTCTTAGAAAATCTCCACATTAAAAAAAGAAAAGTAGTGCTTGCTTTGGCAGCACATATACTAAAATTGGAACGATACAGAGAAAATTAGCATGGCCCCGTGTGCAGGGATGACATGCAAACTCGTGAAGCATTCCATATTTTAAATAAATACATAAATAATAAAAATAAAAATAAAAAAGAAAGGTATCTGCAAAGTAGTATAAATAGGTAAATAGCTAAAAGGGAACTCAATTATGATTTCCCATTGAAAGTAACTGTAAGGAACTTATGGCAGATTTTGCATGTCATTATAACCTATTGAAAAAGTATTTTAAAATATTATTTCATGTACTATTGCCACAATGCCAGGGATTTCCCTCAAAAGAATCTGGTAGAAATGGAAGGGGGTGGGAGAAATATAGGAATGGAAACATGATAGTTCATGAATTGATAACTGTTGAAGCTGAGTAAGGGGCCTATGGGGGTACATTATCCTATTCTTCCTAATTCCATATAGGTTTGACATTTTATCCGTAAGAAAAGTTAGAATTATTATACACTCTTGATGAACAAATTTAATCTTCATACCCTAAAAGCAAAGAAAAACTAGTACCTTCCAATCTTTGAATTTTTGCTTTCACAGAAATAACAGCTTCAAAGGGTGAAACTCTCAGCTCAAAACATGTTCCAGTCAATGTTTCAATGAAGAGCTCCATGGTATCATAGAAAGGAAGTTTGTAGTAAAATGGTCCCACATTATCTTCATTGAAGAATGGAGGATCTTTTCTGTTATCCATTACTTTGACTTTTCTAATTCCTCTGGAATATGTTGTAGGCAACTGTATCCCAGTTCTAGCCAAATCAGCTTTGAACATTGGTAATATATATCGTTGTTCATGTTTTGAGTTTTGTACCTAAAAAAACAAGAATAATTTTTTTAACAAGACTATCTGGAAGTCTTATTCTGCCATAAAGACTTTCTGAATAACTCTGGCCCACATCAATCTGCCAGAGAGCCCCAGAATTCTTTTTAGTACTTAATTTGTCTAATCCTCTATCTTTCAAGTTTATCTCCAAAACCACTCCCCCAATCAGACTGTAAGATTATTAAGAACAGGTATATTTACAATACTTTCCTGTATCTTACTAGAGCTCAGCACATTTACTTATAATACATACTCGACAAATATATTTTTGTTAATGACATTTAAACCAATGAACTCCACACAGAGACATGTATTTGCAAGATTTTGAAAATTTTATGCATATCCTTTACTAATCCATGTAAATTGTTTTCTAATCCATATAAAATATAACTTTATAACCACTGTACATCTAAATCACTCTGAATAAAAGAACACCAACCATGTTGATAGGTTCCTTAAAAATAGGAAACTCACTAAATAACCAATAAGCATTCCAGAGTTATCTATCAGTACAGCACTAAAATGACATCAATATTGGTAACAGACATTAAGACATAATCTTTACACACAAACATGCAATGACTAATGAATATTAGAGGTAAACACAACAGACAGAAGTCCTAAGATAAATTACAAATGTATAATTAGGAGAATAGGGACAACCAAATTGATAAATTGCTATTAATCAGTGAAAACTCTGTAAAGGGAATGTCTTGAACTTAAACTACGACAGGTGATACACATCTTCTTGGAGGGGTAGGTATATCTTTACAATAGCTTTATTAAAATATAATTTACATACCATAAAATTCACCTATTTAAAGTCTAAAATTGACTGGTTTTCATTATGTTCACAGAATTGTACAACCATCACAATCATCTTTAAAACATTTTCATCACCCCAAAAAGGAACCCCATACTCTATAATCATCACTCCCAAATTCTCCCTTTCCCTCTCAGCCCTAGGCACTCCCTAATCTACTTTCTGTCATTTTGCCTATTCTGGTCATTTCACATAATCATACAATATGTAATCTTTTGTGAATGGCTTCTTTCACTTATAACATTTTCAAAGTTCATCCATGATTCTAAGATGTATCAGTATTTCATTCTTATTGCTGAATAATAATCCATTGTATGGCTATACCACTTGTTTATGCAGCCATCAGTTGATGGGTGTGTTGGGTTGTTTCCAATTTGGGGTTATTATGAGTAATGCTATGAGAACATTTGATTACAGGTTTTTGTGTGGACATGTTTTCCTTTCTCTTCCATAGATACCTAGGATTGGAATTATTGGGTTAGGTGGTAACTCCACATTTAGCAATTTGTGTTACCACCAACTGTTTTCAGAAGTGGTCTGAACCATCTTACATTTCCACCAACAATGAAAAGAGGGTGATGATTTCTCACATCCTTGCCAATACTTTTTATTACCTTTTTTGATTAAAGCCATCCTAGAGAGTGTGAAGTAGTATTTTACTGTGGTTGTAATTTTCTTTCCCTAAAGACTAATGATGTTGAGCATCTTCTTAGGTGCTTATTGTCTGGCTATTTGTATATCTTCTTTACAGAAATATCAATTCGGAAAAATACATTCATATCCTTTGACTATTTTTACTTTGGTTGTCTTCTTATTACTGAGTTATAAAAGGGATTTTTAATGTTTTTTAGATACAAGCCTCTTTTTTTTTTTAAGATTTTATTTATTTATTTGAGAGAGAGAGTGAGAGAGAGAGAGAGCACAAGAGGGAGGAGCAGGAGAGGGAGTAGCAGACTCCCCGCCGAGCAGGGAGCCCGATGCGGGACTTGATCCCGGGACTCCAGGATCATGACCTGAGCTGAAGGCAGTCACTTAACCAACTGAGCCACCCAGGCGCCCGATACAAGCCTCTTAAAGATATGATTCACAAATATTTTCTCCAGTTTTATGGGTTGCCTTTTAACTTTCTTGACAGTGTTCTTCAAAGTACAAAAGTGTATTTTAATGACCTCCAATATGGCTGTTTTTCTTTTGTTGCTTGTGCTTTTGGCAACACATTTTAAAAGCTTGACCTAATCCAAAGTAATAAAGATTTACTTGCATATATTTTTTTTCTTTTTTTTAAATTTTATTATGTTGTTAGTCACCATACAATACCTCATTGGCTTTTGATGTGGTGGTCCACAATCCATTGTTTTCGTATAACACCCAGTGCTCCATGCAGTACGTGCCCTCCTTAATACCCATCACCAATGGCTGACCAATGGCTGATAAATTGCTAACCAATCCCCCCTCCCACCTCCCCTCTAAAACCCTGTTTGTTTCTCAGAGTCCATAGTCTCTCATGGTTCATCTCTCCCTCCTATTCCCCCCCCACCATTTTTCCTTCCCTTCTCCTAATGTCCTCCATGCTATTCCTTATGTTCCACAAATAAGTGAAACCATATAATAATTGACTTTCTCTGCTTGACTTATTTCACTTAGCATAATCTCCAGTCCCACCCATGTAAAAGTTGGGTATTCATCTTTTCTGATGGCTGAGTAATATTCCATTGTATATATGGACCACATCTTCTTTATCCATTTATCTGTTGAAGGGCAGCTCGGCTCTTTCCACAGTTTGGCTATTGCGGACATTGCTGCTATGAACATTGGGGTGCATATGGCCCTTCTTTTCACTACATCTGTGTCTTTGGGGTAAATACCCAGCAGTGCAATTGCTGGGTCATAGGGTAGCCCTATTTTTAAATTTTTGAGGAACCTCCACACTGTTTTCCAAAGTGGCTGTACCAATTTGCATTCCCACCAACAGTGTAAGAGGGTTCCCCTTTCTCCACAACCTCTCCAACATTTGTTGTTTCTTTCCCTGTCCATTTTTGCCATTCTAACTGGTGTAAGGTGGTATCTCAGTGTGGTTTTGATTTGGATTTCCCTGACAGCTAATGATGATGAACATTTTTTCATGTGTCTGTTAGCCATTTGTATGTCTTCTTCGGAGAAGTGTCTTTTCATATCTTCTGCCCACTTTTTGACTTGATTATTTGCTTTTTGGCTGTTGAGTTTGAGAAGTTCTTTATAGATCTTGGATACCAGCCCTTTATCTGTAGTGTCATTTGCAAATATCTTCTCCCATTCTGTGGGTTGCCTCTTTGTTTTGTTGACTGTTTCCTTTGCTGTGCAGAAGCTTTTTATCTTGATGAGGTCCCAGAAGTTCATTTTGCTTTTGTTTCACTAGCTTTTGGAGATGTATCTTGAAAGAAGTTGCTGTGGGCGATGTCAAAGAGGTTACTGCCTATGTTCTCTTCTAGGATTTTGATGGATTCCTGTCTCACATTGAGGTCTTTCATCCACTTTGAGTTTATCTTTGTGAATGGTGTTAGAGAAATTACTTGCATATATTTTTCTAAGAATTGTATAGTTTTAGCCTTATATGTAGGTCTATCCATTTTGAATTTATGTTTGTGGATGGTGTGAAAGAAGGGTCCAGCTTTATACTTTTGCAAGTAAAAACCAATTGTCCAAGCAGCATTTGTTGGAAAAACTATTCTATTCCCATTGAATTGTCTTGGCACCCTTGTCAAAAACCAATTGACCATGAATATGAGGGTTTAATTCCAGTCCCTCAATTCTTTTTTTTTTTTTAAGATTTTATTTATTTATTTGAGAGAGAGAATGAGAGAGAGAGAGAGAGCACATGAAAGGGGGGAGGGTCAGAGGGAGAAGCAGACTCCCTGCTGAGCAGGGAGCCCGATGCGGGACTCGATCCCGGCACCCCAGGATCATGACCTGAGCCGAAGGCAGTCGCTTAACCAACTGAGCCACCCAGGCGCCCTCCAGTCCCTCAATTCTATTACACTGATCTACATATCTATCCTTATAACACTACCACATTGTCTTTTTACCTTTGCAATAAGTTTTGAAATAGAAAGTGTGAGTTCTCTAATTTGTTCTTCCCTTTCATGATTCTTGGTTATTCTGAGTGCTTTGAATTTCTGTATGAGTTTTAGGATCAGATTGTCTATTTTGCAAAAACACCAGTTGGACTTTTGAATAAAAATTGTGTTGAGTATGCAGATTAATTTGGAGAATATTACCATCTTGACAATATTGTTTTATAATCCATGAAC